CATCGCTACATTTATAATGACTTGACTGTTTACACTAAGCACACTTGAACCCAAATTCTCGTCATCCACTGACGAATTTATGTCTCACCATTCCTTATTTAATTTCCGCAGCCTGTACAACTTTCAGCCACTGTCGATTACATACATAGCAACGTGTCTGTTGCGAAACATAACTGCTTGTAAATTTTGACCATGCCTGAGTTGGTGTGCCTCAATAAATTCGAGAATAAGTTAGTTGGTTATTTGCTGAAGTGGAATCTGGTATAACATCTGAATTCGTGACCATACATGTGGTATAATCTTTGTGCTACAAACATGACATCACTGTTATTGAGAAGCCACAACGGAGGGTGTTAAATATACCAAGGGATTGCGCGCTTCTTTTAACTGTTGAGACCAATGACTCTAAGAGCTTTGGTGAACAATATCCTCCTCTGCGAGGTGATCCTATAGTTGCGTATCAGATCCTCAAGGATGCTAACTGCGCATGCCGAACCTTATTGGAACACAGCCACAACACCACACTGACAGGCCACCATTGAAAGTTGACGACACCGTATAGCAGATTAGAATGCCAACGGAACTTTTTCTCCTTTCGTGTATCTCAGCCAGGGAACTTACTTTCACATTTTGTCATATCTGCTCCTATGTTGTTCGAAAGCAACAAGTGACTTGACGATGCATTACTTCACTTGCATTACATAATTTTACCCAAATTACTGTGACACGCTACGTGTTTTTGCTATTCATGATACATCCGTATTTGATCTCCCTCTTTTCCTTCTTAAAAGGTGACCCGCTCATCCACTTACATTTTGTTATTTAACAATTGCTCTCTGTTCTAATCTTAGTAAATACCTTGAAATTATCGTTCACTACATATTGGTGCAGCTAGTCTACGCGGAATACAGGAACTCAGCATTACAAGTTAAAAACCCTTCTTTAAGTAGTACAATTGCTAAATGCGTTTAGTAATTCTACGTTGATAACCCAACTAGACCACCTAATGTAACTTATAAAATGGTACTGCTTAACCCATATAAAGTCACTGTTCGTTGTAACTGATGAGCTTGGGGTGAGCATGTAATGGACAGCCAGATTTCTGACAAGATTTGCCTCTTGAGAGAGGCTAGGCGAATCCTTTCCAAACACAAACCTTTCTACTTTCGCAAGCCAGTATTCTGCCGTATATCATGCGAATGTTGTAATTAATGTGCAGAGGATGATCGCAGTGCACACAATTTTGACGGTAGTTCTTTGCTGCGAATAACCTCGGAACACCTTCCTTTACAAGAGGACCAAGGGTGTCGACGAAAAATATTCCTTGTAAGTCCGGAGGAATAAGAGAAAGTAGATAACGAAGGGTATCAACGAATGCTTCGGGAAAAGCCCAGACATATCAAAAGGCCTATCACGACAAGAATTTTATCCAGATATATGTTTATCCGACATAGATAGAACACAAACCAATTCTATGACTGAATGGCTGTTGCAAAACTTGCGCACCCAGGCCACTCAATAACAATTAGAATTCTCTTTGAGTCGGTAACTGGGGTGATAGTACCAGTTGGTAGGTATGTCTTCAATACTCGGACAGATTGGAACCAACTACATCAAATCACTGGAAGGCAGACAACACATGGTGTTAGCCACGGAAAGTTTAGCTCCGTCACACACACAGTGCTACCACAAATGCAAGTCCGAACCAACAAACCAACAGTCTACGTTTGAGGTGGTTTATCCCCTCAACTGGAAATCCTGTACTAGTGAAATTTTTGCAGTTAAGGGCAATCTACATTCGGGCATTGAGACAAACGTCGGCTAAATGCGCAAACGTCATAGAGGATGGTATCGATTTGTGTTAGATGTCAAAGTCATAACTGCACCACATTATAAAGGGGTAAAGCAACGAGCGATTTGCATCCTTGTTCTAACCTGGGAATTTCATTTTATCAAACAGCGAAGCAGACAAATAAAACAAACGATATTAGTTGTTGCCATTAAGAGTAGAAAATTTGCTAAGTATCTAAAGATGATTTCTTGATGCCTCAATAATTCAACGTTTTCTAATGAGTAGAAGGATTTAGATATCGTTCGAACTGGTTCATCGCAATTAGATTCCAAGCCGCATAGGTAAGTCACCATTCCGGAAAAGTATCAGATGCACGTTTCGCCATATTGGGGCTAGTCAGTAGTGCGCATCCATCGGTCCTGGACTGGGGATCGAACCTATGACTGCAAGTGGCTAACGCCAACTAACCTGCAGCTTATGCCACTGAGCAATGGGGGACGACAGCCGACCATTACGAATGGAAACCAAACTGCGATATAGCCTGACCCATCCTCCACTGCCGTGCAGGTTATTACTGGTGCAGACCACAGTGCTTCTCCGTCACGGTCAGGTCTTCCCTTGCCAGCGCCGTGAATCCACACAGCAATTTAGAATACCGTTAGGTATTAGAATTTTGATCACTAATGAGTAAACGAATTTGGGTAGGATTCGATTTGGTTTTTTGCAATTAGATTCCAAGCCGCACAGGTAAGCTACCAATCCGTAAAAGCACCAGACGCGCGTTTCGCCCAATTGGGGCTCGTCAGTGGAGTAGGTCCATCGGCCCCCTACTGGGGACCACTGCGCAAGACTGATGAGCCCTACCAGGGCGTAACATGCATCTGGTGCATTTCCGGTTTGGCAGCGTACCGATGCGGCTTGAAATCTAATTGCGATGAACCAAATCGAATCATACCCAAATCCGTCTATACATTAGTAATCAAAAACTTTAGCCCTACCATTATTCAAAATTGCTGTGTGGATTCACGGCGCTGGCAAAGGAAGACCTGAGCTTGACGGCCGACTGCTGTCCTCTGCACAGGCAATAACCTGCACGCCAGTGGAGGATGGGTCGGGCTATATCGAAGTTAGGTTTCAATTCGTAATGGTCGGCTGTCGTCCCCCATTGCTCAGTGGCATAAGCTGCTGGCTAGTTGACGTTAGCATCTAGCAGTCATGGGTTCCACCCCCAGTCCGGGACCGATGGATGCGCACCACTGGCCAGCCCCAATAGGGCGAAACGTGCATCTGGTGCATTTCCGGATTGATAGCTTACCTATGCGGCTTGGAATCTAATTGCAGTGAACCAAAACGAATCATTTCAAGGTTTATTTTCGTTACACTTGCAAGAGAATCCACCTAGAAAGCAACTAAAACTCACCCTGGTCTGTGACAGTTCCAAACGCCAAGCTAAATGTTGCACCTCCAATCCACTGAGGTAATGCGTCTGTTGGAACTTTGCTTCTAACATCTGCACTTGAAAGCGAGAGAAAGGCACTCGTGGACTGCGGTTCTTCACACAGCGCGGATCGTCCAACTGTGGTCGGAGCTCTATTCTACTCGGAATGGAACATCCCATGTCAGCAGGATGACGGTACTGCTTGTTTGGGTAATCTGAAAGTTATGCAGAGAAACACATGCACGAATTCACAGAAGTGCTTATGGAAAAATACACTTGTGTGTGTCTAACACTATACTTTTAGGCTTTGTCAATCAAATGGTAATCGCGTGCTAGCGCCGACTGCGCCCAGTAACTAACACAATTCAGGTTGTTTTATGGGTGTCTTAATTAGTCTGAACCGAATGAATGTCAAGCTACAAAGAGTGCTTTACACCAACTATATCGATGAAGGCATATTACAGGCCAGTGAAATAACACAGGACAGTCGGCTAAATCACGAACAGAAGTAAAACCCACAACGAAGCTGCTCTGGTTTATTGGATCCCAAGTAGCAGCCGGATGTGTGCGGTCCGACTGGCTGGCTTGTACAAAGTTTTGAAATCGCGCTGGGTTAACAGGTGCCTGGTTGTTATCGCTGCTTACGCCCACACAAACGGTAGCAATGACTCGTTGAAGACACCTATTCTCCAATGAACGGGCTCCTACGCCGCAGAAGATGCACGGACACTGTAATGAGGAAACTCACCTCCACCTTGTGCATTTTCGGCTACTCCCCTCTGGTTCCCCGAAACCAGACCAACAGGTCGATGACGCTGCATGCGTTGTCAGCGGTTCCAGACATGGGCTCCGCATTGCTTTCACTAATGTTTACAGTTTAATAAACAAATTCGACGATCTGTGTCCCTTCGCTGCCTATCCGCCGGACGTATAATGACTGGCTGATACCTGGTTGGATTCTGCGG